ATGCATGAAAAAACTGGATATGAAAAAGAGAGGCAGAAGGAGACGCATTCGAAATGTGGTGTTGGTGAAGAATACTGAATATACCGTGAATTGCCAGAAGGAGGAACAAACCAGTCTTAGAAGAAATACAAACAAAACGTTCCTTGGAAGAGAGGATAGTAAGACTTCGGCTCACTTACTTTGGACAAGTCATCAGAAAAGACCAATTGCTAGAAAAGGACATCATGTTTGATAAAGTAGAGAGTCAGCAAAAATGAGAACCCTCAATGAGATGGACTGAAACAGGAGCCACAACAATGGAGTCAAATATGCCAGTGGTTGTGAAGATGGTGCAGGACCAGGCAAAGTTCCATTTCATTAAACATATGGTCGCCATGAGTGGAGTTGACTGGATGGCAGCTAACAACAACTTTAGCTAAAAATGCAAGTCTTCTGATAAACCTTCTCAGATTTCGCCACGTCCAAAAGAATTCATCATTCTCTTCCCTGTGATTCTACAATATCTACCGTAGTTAACCTTATAATATTATGGGTTCTTGAAAGACGGTAACTGGGTCCTATTTTTTTCCCTTTCAAGCATCCATTTCCCTTCTCCTACCAGTTCCCCCTAAGGAACACCATTGTTATAAACCAGTAGCTTAGTACATATTTACAAAATTGAATTACATTTCTACTACTGACAGGTCTGTCTTACAGAGCCAAGAACAAAGATAGCTAAGGAAGAGCTAAGCTCTATTATGTTTTGCCTTGTGCCTTGCATAGCTGACAGTCCTATTACACATCTAGAAAAAGTAATGGGAATGTCTCAAAAGAAGAAACCACTACAGCCCTATGTGTAGATAAGTGTTGAAATGACTGACAGCAGAGAAGCAGGACTTGTTTTTAATTTGTGAAAGGAACCATTGTTAATATAGGAGCTGCCTCTTGAGAACTGGAGAGGGACTCAGAGTGTCATCTTTGCTGTCACTTAGTCAAGCTAACATCACACAAGAGTCAAACGACAATAGAGCAACAACAGTGCTCATACAAGCATTCTATCCAAAGTTCTTCCAGCTGTCTTCTGAGAACTCGGAAGCCCTGAAACAGATCTTGTCATTCACTCTCAAGACGCCACAGAGGCAGAGAATGATCACCTAGTAAAGGAAGATCAGCTTTCAACATGCAGATAATTAAACTAAGATGCAAAAAATAGTCAACTTCTGAAGGAAGCAAAGAAAAGCAAATAAAAACCGATAACAAGGCATCATTTACGCTTACAAAACAGATTAATTGCTATTACCAGAGTCTGGTAAGATTGAGGTGAAACTGATATATCCAAACTGAGGATGCAGTATAAATTATTTACAACCTTTGGAAAGAAAAGTAACAAAAATGGTCATACTCCTCAATTGTAGAAATACCACTGTTAGGAATCTGACGCAAAGAAATAAATCTAAAGGAAGTATGCGCAAACGTGTTCCTTGTAGCATTTGTTACAACAAAAAAAATTGAAAACATCAATATCCAACATAAGGAATTTCTTTACAAAATATATAGCCCCTCACCTTAACCCTACTTAACTGTGCTAAATCACAGTTAAGAAGGCTACAACAACATATAACAAAGTATCTACATAGGCAATGCTAGAAAAAGATAAGGCAATAGAATAAGAAGAGATTTAGTTTTTCATAACATGTTTGTATAACATTGTTCTATTTTTAAAAAAGTACTACAAAATCAATTTAAGAAGTTTCTGCCTGTCAACTAATACATGTTAACATTAACAAAAAGACAACTTAGACGATTGGCTTGGAGAAGAACAAAAAAGAATTAAAGAGGTAGAGAAAGAAGCTTGTTCTTTCAGAGGAGAGTAGAATGTGGCTGGAATGTGGAGAGACTGTAATGGCAAGCACTTACCTGCGGAGGCCGAGGCTTGTAGGGAGAGCTGCACTCCAGGTCAGCCAGGATACTGGTCAAGGAGTCAATCTCTGCATCCAGGCTGGAGCGCCTCTCCTCAAGGGTCTTGCCTCCAGGATTTCCCTGCTAGAAACAACATACACATTTTAAAGAAGGAAAGTTCCAGTTTTCATTGGTATTAGCATGATTTCAATTTACTCCAGTCATCCTGTGACTTTGTTCACACTTTTCCTGCACTCCATCTTTTTAGCTTTTATTCAGTCTTTGTGAGGTAGGTTGGCGTAGGCTTGCCCCTTTTCACCACATACAAAAACTTAAGCAGACAGCAGATGTCTTTCCTAGGGTCACACACTTATTTAGAGGCTCTTCTGATGAGCATAGGACTGAAAGGAAATACATGTTTCAATCTCTGCACTCAAGGAACGGATCCAACCAGGGCGGAATCCCAAGCTCCTGGAGTTCAGAAACCACTGCAAAGACGGATAGCATTTTAGTTGGAGCAGGAAGGGGGAGGGGAAAGAGACAGGCAATCCAAGAAGAGGAACCAGTGCTTAAAGACATCATCGTATGACCAAGCTTGGTGATTATGGTGCTCAGTGGGTACTGGACATGGATGTATATGGATGGTGGGGTTGGGGAGGCACGTCATGGTTGATGCACCTAAAAAGTGGACTAGAAAAGGACAGCTCAAGGTTCTGGCCAAGGGGCTGCTGAGAGGGCATGTGAGAGGGATCACTGACTATGAACTTCAGGCTCTACAGGTTCTCTATAGAAGCCCTCAAGTTATCAAAGCACATGCATGTACCTGAGCTCAGAATCAATAAGGGGACAGTCCAAGGTATACTGCCAAAAGGGCATTCCCAAGAATAGCGGAGAGGCTTGGGAAAAACAAGCAAACCAATAGTTTGCCCATGGCTCAAGGCAAAGAGATATAAAATGAGGTGGCCCTAGGATTTGGTAGTAGGATCGGGTAAGTTGATCACCTAAGGTGACAATAATTATTGTGTGAGTGGGATAGGAGTGTCTCTTAAGACTCCATCAAGAGACCAAAGTGTATTTTCAGCAAGACCCAGTAGGAATGAAATAATGTGAAGATATTCTCGCATAATCAACTCTAATGAACTTGTCTGAAGAAGTATCAGGATAGTGTCTCTAAGAGTCTAAAGGAGGAAAAAAGAAAAAGAAAGCCAAGAAACCAGAATATCTCCAGCAACAACAAAACATAAAAAGGTGCTCTGACGGGCTAGGGTTAAATCTTACAGCGTTCTAAATAAATCTATTCTTACAGTGAATACGTTGCATCATACAATGATAACATGAATAAAAAAAAAAAAAAAAAACAACCAAACTCACTGCCATAAAGTCGATTTCAACTCACAGTGACCCTTCCCGAGAGTATAGAACTACCCCATAGGTTTTCCAAGGCTGTAAATCTTTACGGAAGCAGACAGCCACATCTTTCTCCCTCAGAGAGGCTGGCGGTTTCGAACCACTGAACTTTCGATTAGCAGCTGAGCACCTTAACCACTGCGCCACCAGCGATCCTTGATAACATAATAGCATTGCCTATTAAGACCACTTTTTTTTTTCCTTAGCATTTTGCTCACCAAGTCACCTTCCCTGAGTCCTGGGAATTATTTAAGTCTCTGCATGAAAATATCCTACTGGGATCTGGAGTACTGGTTAGTCTCGTGTGAATTTAGCCAGTATCAGTTAATCCACACTGATCTGATCTATCCACCAAAACCAAAACCAACGCCAACAAAAATCCGAACGGTAAAAAACCCCCAGGGTTTCCAAGGCTGTAAACCTCTATGGAAGGAGACTGCCCCATCTCTCTCCCACAGAGCTGCTAATGGTTTTGGACCGCCAATCTTTCGGTTAGCAGTTGATCACTTTAACCACTGGGCCACTAGGACTCCTTGATCTATCCTAGGCACACTGATAACATCAACTGTCTACAAAGCTGTGTCCTAGCCCTCTGGAGTCAAACCACATCACTGCCACCTGCCCCAACAGGCAGTTGACATCCTTATTGGTTAGCCCTTTTGAAGTATGAGTAAATTTTATCACATGATTGCAAGCAGCCTTGTCAGGATTTTCTCATTCGGGACATTTTTTATGAACCTCTCTATGTCACTTTCTCTGTTTCTTCCTTCCTTTCTTTCTTTTTTCCCACAAAGCTATCACCGTCAACGATTATCTTATATGTTTGTCTCTTTATTGTCAGTCTCCCCAGTGAGAACGTAAGCTTCATGAAAGCAAGGACCTCATCTGATTTGCTCCCGTGGTACCTCTGGGGTCTAGCTCAGGGCTTGACCCATAGGAAAGTGCTCAGTAAATCAATGAATAAATGATGACAGACTGACTGTGTCACAGGTCCAACCAGTGATGTTTCCACATCAATATCTTTTGGGTAAAAACTGCTAGACGCTCAACAGGAAACGGGGTGCTTAGTACATGGTATAAAACGGGGTCAAAAAAGGCTCTGATGTGTGTGCATGGTGTGTGTGTATGTGTGTATGTGTCTGCATGCATGTGTGCATGTGTGTATGTGTGCGTGTGTGTGCACATTCAAGCTGCATGGTTCAGATCTGCATGTCAGCCTTATGAAAAACAGGAGATTGTCCTCAGCTCCCTTGTCACAGCCCAAGATGGAAAAACAGCAATATGACTGGTGCCATTTCTCAGAGTCTGAATCTCAAGCTTGACAACACCCTCTACAGCCAATGGGTCTTTGCCTGAGGAACAGATGTTTTCAAGGCAGTAATCCCTCTATCGGGGTGATCTCGTCTTTATCGCACAGAGCATTAATAATTATGAAAGACTGTGGTATTATCAAAGCAAATGAAATCCCTTTAACATTTAAAATTCATGTGGGCATTCTGGGTGATGGGCCGCCTGGTGCTACAGCAAGGAAAGGTAGGATGTCATTGTTATGGGCTGAGAACCATCTGTACTCAATTGTCTTGTGTGCAGATAGAAACTATTATAATAATCATGGATGTGATTAAGTGTATTTTCATATACTCATGTTGTTGTTATTAGGTACCGTCCAGTCGACTCCAACTCATAACGACCCCATAGGGTTTCCAAGGAGCAGCTGGTGGATTTGAACTGCTGATCTTTTGGTTAGCAGCCGAGCTCTTAACCACTACGCCACCAGGGTTCCATATACTCATAGACATCCCAGTTTATTGGGAAGGGCAGCAGACCTGGAGTCTGGTTAAATTCTTCCCTGGGCCATAGTTTCCTCATCTATTAATGATAACACCACCTACTCTACCTAAGCCAGAGACAGCGTTGTTACAAGACTCAGATAAGATAATGGATGAGAAAGTGCTTTGTAAACTATCAAATGCTGTAATTATGATGATTTTCATAAATAGCATTAATTATATCAACCAGTAACTATAAATTATAATGGATAATATAGCTATTAATTATTCTTATTAAGAGAAGCATCATTCATTAAGTGTTTCCCTGGGGCATCAGTAAAGAGACAAGATTTGCTCAAGTCTTCAACACCTATCCTGCATTGTATCAGAAAGCACCTCAACTGCCCATGCCCTAACTGACTGCACCATCTAACCACAGAGACTCAAAAGTCATAGAATTACCTTGAGCTACACTGTGAAACAAGAAATTATGGTGTGCAACCAGCCTGTGCATGTAAGACTTCCTTTTCTATATCGCCTCCTTATTCTTGCTCCTCTCTGTATTAAGTTTGCTCCTTATTTTCTGTTTCTCATCTTGGCTTGATGTAATTTAACAAATTCCAGGCTACTGCAGTGGGCTTCTGCACCAAGTGACCCTATAAGAGCTTTTGCTCCTAAATTTAACCTCATTATGGATTATAACAGGCCTCTGTTCTGTCTCATATCTCCATTTTAGCTCTCAGTTCAAACAGTTGAAGCCCTGCCTAAGTCCCACCAGCCTTCGTTCTCATAGTGCTCTCAACTACTCTCCCAGTACCTTTAGGTTCAAGGGCTATTTTGCTATTCTTAACACCTTATACTAGAGGTTCTCCTCAAGCTACAGTCCTATAACCGGCTAACAGAATCCTATGAATTCAACAACACATCTGCTCCTTAATTCCCTATCAATGTAGCTTCGCCAATCACTGATCGTTACAACAACCTGTCCAAGACCAATTAACAATAATGGCGATTCTCCAGACTCTATACCTAATGCCTTTTCTAGATACCCCAGGACCTCCTATAAAGTGGTCATTATAATAATAACAATTCAGGAACAATCCCCACCCTGTTCAATGGTAACTAAATGAATGCTATTTTCTTAGTCTGGGCTCTGCCAAAAAGTAAAACCCGAGACAAGGACTTGCATGAATGTAGATTATTGAGTACTGAGGGACTGGGAAGAATGAAACAGGGATGGAAGGAAAGCCAATTGAAAGGGGCAGTAGGGATCTGGTCAGCCAGTGGGCAACTAGGGCTCCATGGTCCTGGGGGCCCTCTGAGGAGTCTTGTGAAGAAGGCACCTCAGATCTTCCCACGTGAGGGACAGAAGAGTAGAGGATCCAGTTCTCCACTGGCTTACGGTTGCCCCATGGGGTTGTAAACTCCCTCATCCTTGTCCCAAGAAGTAGAGTGATAGCTGAGAAACTCCAGGACAGAAAGTGAGAGAAATATATTGCAGCTGAGGCAAGGAGCCCCCAGGTCACACTAGTGTATAACGGGTGTCTGCCACAGCAGCTGGTGCATGGCAGTGGATGAGAGGGTGAGACCTGGGGTCCAAGAGGTGTCCAATAAAACCAGTGATGGAGTCCTTTCACTAATAGCTACATGAATAAGCCCACATGAATAAACCACTCATAAAGTAATATATTCTATAAGACATTTATTTTCATTCATTCAACAAATATGTATATGATAAAACCTCACCAACCCTTGTTGAGGCTTATTATAATTTGGAAAAATCATACATCTCAGTGCTAACAGTAGGATGACAGGGGGCTGACTCTCCCATTGTAAGTACATGGGAACAGAATTTAAAGCAAGAGCACAGAACCAGAGTGAACAGCGTGGGAGGAAAATAAAGTCAGGCTATAGCCTAGAGTCTGACTTTAGATGGGTCACGGTTTAGCCCAAAAGACTGCTAATCCA